CATTTCTTCTTAACAAAAGGTTGATGACTATCTTATTTCTTCTTTTCTTCATATTATGTAGCTAAAACTTTTCCTCTGTCATTACTAATTTGCTTCCAACATTTTGATGGTTCACACTGACACAAAGTGTTGGTGCGTTAACAAAAATTTGCACTGGCACAAAGTGTTGGTGCCTTAACAAAAATTAGCATTACACCAACACAAAATGTTGGTGTATCCCTGCGGTGTACAAAATGGGGTACAAATTCTTGGGGTACAAATAGCATTATCCATATATTAAATCTGAACAAGTTTTACACTGTAGTAGTACAAAAAAGGGGAGAACTACTCAACTAGGACTAAAATATGCTTTATATACAAAATAAAACTTTCAATTTTTAATATGAAAATAGGACCTATAATGTTGAAGAATGTCAATATATACTCCTAAATGACAAAATGAAATGTCAATATACAATGGGTTGTAGCATGACACGGTACCAATGCTGCTATTGAAGGAATAAACACAGAGATGATCGTATTTTATAAGTTTAGAGAAAAAAAACTAAACAAGAAGTAGAAAATACTATAAAGAGGTTTGTACTTCTTAACTCTAAATTAAGAGTACAATGACAATAATGTTAATATATATTGGCTGCGTTTGGAAAATGGCAGTTCGGCCAAAAATCAGCTGTTCTAACCGACAACGGCTGTTGGACTATTTTAACAGCTAAAGTTGATGTTTGGCAAATGGAGGTTACGACGGTTGTTGAGTCTCCAAAAGCCAATTTTTGAAACGCTAGCCTCCTTAGCGTTTTAGTTTGGCAGTTGCTATTATTACTTTTATGTCCTTATTTATAAAATGCCTTGTTGCAAATCTGATCTTGTGGTGGACACAAAAAAAAATTATGCGTACAAAAAAAAGGAAAAAAAGGTGTGGAGTTTGTATTTGATTTTTTTAAGCAAGGGATGTACGAAGCATTATTTGTGTGTGGCTATTGAGCAAAGTAACATTATTTTTACCACTTTATACTTGAATATAAATATTTTGAATACGTTAAGTACAAAGTATGTATAGAGTAATTATTTATTTAAAGTTAACTAAATAAATATATGAAGAAAAAGAATACTTAAATAAAAAAATCTACTTATAAAATATAAATGTAAATTCTCATTTCTCAAATTTAAAAAAAAAACGAAGTAGCCTTTTTTGTCCAACAAAAAAATATATGTAAAGCATTTTCTTGTATAATGTGTGTATTTTATCAAATTAAAAAAAATTTAAAATCATACACAAATTAACATAAATGGAAGGATGTCCTTACATATAATTTTACTCACAAACAGCTAATTATAAACAGCTAAAGTTGCCAAACATCTAATTTTTAACATCTAACAGGAACAGCCAGTCAAAATAGCTAACTCAATCAGCCATTCAAACCCGCCAACATAAACAGCTAACAGCCAACTGCCAACTGCCATTTTCCAAACAAGGCCAAAGTGTCATAATGTCATAATTCAAAAACATGAAATACCTATTATTAGTATATTTTACTCCTATCTGGGTGATACCTTATAGGTTTAATGTTTTTTTCTTATTTAAATAAATTTCTTCAAAAAAGATTTAATCATGAAGTATTTTCTACCCTTGCAAACTTTCATTGAACATTTTGATGCAATTTTTTAGACATACAAATTTTATTTTACTTTAGTAAATACGGAGTATAAATTTTATTTTTGAAATCACACCAATTATCGTATAAATTAAAGTAAAAATAATTTCAGCATAAATCAAATCACGAAAAGAGTAATAAAAAAAGATTCATTGCGATAATTAAGATGCAACATGTCATTGGTGTCGTTGAAAACACAAACTACTATTCATTATTGATTCATTATTATTTCATTGTAATGCAAGTTGATCTTTGTTATAACATCAGTATCATTGGCATATATGAGATTGATTCTCGTAGGGCCCATTAGACTTGGCCTACTCAGTATATGAACGAACCATCCTCAGGCACCACAATCAACAACACGTTCATTCTCTAAACAGTTACCCATTTCTTCCTCTTTTATTGGGGCCATTCAAATCCCACACCTGTTTCCTCCTGGTTTTTGTTCCACAATAATAAACCATAATTGGAAGAAGACGATGATGCCCAAAATAGTGAAGCATATCATGCTCCTCTCAACTATAGCACTTCTTATCCTCCTTCATGGACTTGTGGAAGGAGTGGATGTGAAAAACCAGAAGAAGACGTACATCGTTCACATGGATAGATCCAACATGCCCTCTGGCTATAATGATCATCTCCACTGGTACGATTCATCGTTGAAGTCGGTTTCTGATAGCGGCATGCTTTACTCTTACACTAATGTCATCCATGGCTACTCGGCACATCTGACTGCCGACGAAGTCAAAATGCTCGAGCGGCGGACAGGGGTCGTCTCTATCCAGGAGGAGGTGAAATACGAGCTTCACACGACACGGTCTCCCTTGTTTCTCAGACTTGACGGCGGGGCGGAAAGCAAAGAGTTATTTGCTTGTAATATAAGAAAAACCAAGAGTGAGGTTGTGGTTGGTGTGATAGACACCGGTGTTTGGCCGGAATCAAGGAGTTTCGATGACACCGGGCTTGGTCCAGTTCCCAAAAGCTGGAAAGGGGTGTGCGAGGTAGGAAAGAACTTCAACTCGTCAAGCTGTAACCGGAAACTCATTGGTGCAAGGTTTTTCGCAAGTGGGTATGAGGCGGCAAACGGACAGGTTGATGAGACCATTGAGTCCAGGTCACCCATGGATGATGACGGCCACGGCACACACACGGCATCGACTGCAGCTGGATCAACAGTCATCGGAGCAAACTTGTTTGGTTTCGGTTCTGGCACGGCACGTGGGATGGCCCCACAAGCAAGGATTGCGGCGTACAAAGCGTGCTGGCTGGGAGGGTGCTTGAGCAGCGACATATTAGCCGCCATTGAAAAGGCCATAGAAGATGGGGTGAATATACTTTCAATATCACTTGGCGCTGCGGCCGGCGAATACTACAATGACCCAATAGCAATAGGAGCGTTCGCAGCAGCCAGCAGAGGAATCTTTGTGTCCTGCTCGGCTGGAAACGGCGGACCTTTCCCAAATAGCCTCTCCAATATTGCCCCGTGGATAACAACAGTGGGTGCAGGAACAATCGACCGTGTCTTCCCAGCATATATTAGTATTGGTAATGGGAAGAAATTCGAAGGGGTATCACTTTACGGGGGGAACCCCTTGTCTACTTCCCAGGTACCCCTAGTATATGCTGGTAGTAATGGCACTTCATTAGATGGAGGACTATGCACCGCAGGCAGTCTGTTTCCTAAAAAGGTAGCCGGGAAAATTGTGGTATGCGACAGAGGTGAGAACAGGAGAGCAGAAAAGGGTTTGGTTGTACGAGATGCAGGTGGGATAGGCATGATACTAGCAAACACTGACCTTAGCGAAGATGACCGGATTGCAGATGCCCATCTCATCCCAACAGCAGCCGTGGGTGAGACCGCAGGTGACACGATAAAGAACTACATATCTTCAACCCGCAATCCAACAGCCACGATCGGATTTGGGGGAACAAGGTTGGAAGTCCAGCCGTCACCTGTTGTGGCTGCTTTCAGCTCTAGAGGCCCAAACTCGATCACACCTGAGATACTAAAACCGGATCTCATAGCACCTGGGGTTAACATCCTTGCGAGTTGGACGCAGAGAGTCGGACCGACCGGGTTGCCACAAGACAAGAGGCGTGCCGACTTCAATATCATCTCTGGGACTTCAATGTCATGCCCGCATGTGAGCGGACTGGCTGCGCTACTCAAAACCGCTCATCCCGAATGGAGCCCTGCAGCTATAAGATCAGCACTTGCAACAACAGCTTATAGAACATACAGGAATGGGAAGACCATTGAAGATGCAGCAAATGGTATGCCATCAACACCGTTTGATCACGGTGCTGGCCATGTAAACCCGGTATCAGCACTTGATCCGGGTCTTGTTTATGATGCAACAGTTGATGATTACACAAACTTCCTTTGTGCCACTGGATACAGTGCAAGTCTGATCAAGACCATCACAAAGAAATATGTGTCGTGTGGTACAAAGAAGGAACACAGAGTCGCTGATCTTAATTACCCATCTTTTGCGGTTCCTTTCGAGACGGCTTGGGGTAAGGGTGGTGAGAAAAAAACAGTGGTCAAGTACACAAGGACACTCACAAATGTGGGCAAACCAGCTACTTACAAGGCCTCATTCTCTGTTCAGACCAAGTCTGTAGAGATGATAGTTGAGCCACAAGCTTTGAGTTTTAGTAGACTGAACGAGAAGAAGAGCTACATAGTGACATTTATTGCTAGTTCTATGCCATCTGGCACCACTGGCTTTGCCAACCTGGAATGGTCAGATGGAAAACATAATGTCCATAGCCCAATTGCTTTTAGCTGGACATGATTATATGGCAGTCATCCATACCCCCCAATCCCCCATGATCATTAATGATACCACCTCTGATCAAGAAAAAAGAGTCTTGATTGTAATACTAAGATTCAATATTACAAAAAGACTCTTTCTGTGATGTAGGGAGTAATATGGAATAGGTTATTGTTTAATTCTCAGGCAACCAGACCTGACTTGTATTGTCAAGAAACGTTTGTGTATAATAGTCTGTGTTGATTGTATGGTACATGAAAAAAAACACTATTAACGCTAAAAATAATTATGCTTCTGAGGTAGTCTCACAAGGAGAGGTTTCTCTTTAATAGCAATAGCAAAAAGTCTAAAACTATAACGCACCAATTAACCTCAAAAGTTAACTCAAGAGGTTGAGACAACCAAGGTATTTTAAACACCATAATATTGGTGTAGAGTGCCGATGTGGGATGAGATAACTTAACAACCCCCCCCCCCTCACACGAGCCGCAGATAACTGCAAGCGCAATCTCAACATCAATGACATTAGGTCTGATACCATGTGAAATAATAGACTTGAGTCCAATTAAACCCCAAAAGTTAACTCAAGAGATTGAGGAACCCAAACTATTAAATATAGCATAATATCGACATGTTTAGCCGATATGGGATGAGACAACTCAACATCATTGCTTTATCAATAAATTAACAATGCACCATTAATAATAAAGACGGCAACAAGAATCACAAGAAAAGACTGCCGCTGCAATGCTTGGGAATAAGTAGTTTATGGTATCAAAAGAACATCTAGCGTCTTGAAATGCAGCTTCCACCGTGTCTGGGTTCAAGAAATGCCCTATTGGCTATTGTTACCAACAAAAACAAAGTAAACAAAATCAGTCAGATTCATCTGGAGAATGACAAACAGGGAGATAATATGTATCCAACTGCCAGTATTTGTGTTTTACTCCTTCCCAGATTTCTTCACTTAAGCAATCCTTCACTGGTAGTTGTATGAACTGTGTAGAAAACCCCATGATGGCAAGTTCAAGAGAAACTAACTGACAGTAAACGGCATGGAAGAAAGGATTAGCTCCACAGAGCCCATTAAAGAATGAATAGATACCACCAGGCTTTAACAGTTTAGGTAGATATTGGTGAAACTCTCGCATATCTTCATAATACTCACCGTAGGTGTCAAAGAATATACCTAATATGTTCAAAAAAAGATATCAAACAGTTATTGATCTGCCAGTTGTTATGAATTTGTTGTGAAAATCTGAAAATCTATTAATTTAATAATCTGAAGATCTTTTTTTTTGGAAATTTAAAGTTTGTTTTTGTGTATTTGATTTCACTAAGATGTGATCAATCAATTTGCTCTAAAAAATGCAAGGTGAACTTTACAAATTCTCGGCTAGTTTTTACAGTATGTAATTATACTACTATGATTTTGTCATTTACTTATTTTCTTTTAATACTATTGGGTTAATTGTCATTTAAATATAATTAGTTTACATATTTTAATTGTTTAGACCAATAGGGGATTAGGGATAAGACTTCTAAGGCCTTTTTTTCCTGTCTCGGCCCAGGCCGTTGAAGTCTCAGGACGGGCCCTGAAGTAGGGGCAAGGTTTGCATACACACACCCTCCCTAGACCCTACTCTTGTGGGATCCAACATTCCAACTAGGTTGTTGTTGTTATTGTTGATGTTGTATAAATGTGCATACACTAATTTTATAATGTGCATGCTTTGAGTATGTGCAAAAAAAAGTGTACTTTTGCTAGTTCATTTTTATCCTTTCACGGATTGGAAGTGTTATGAGCAACAAAATGAAAAGTTTTTAGCAAGAAAATGGACATTGTACAATTATTTAATATGCATACATTAATTTCATAATATGCCTGCTCTAAGTATGTGCAAAAACTAAATGCATGAATGAACATTGTTTTAACTTGTAAATGTATGTGCATATGCGAGATATCTAATATATGTGAAATGACAGTTTGACATAAATTTTTATTTTTTGGTAGTATTTCTTTTAAACACCAATTTGGCAATCTTAGGGTGGGAAGTTTTATAGCTGCTATGAAGTTTACTGGGATAGTATATTGGTTTTGTCTAGTTCAGTTTGGTGTGCTTTAAGGGGGAAGGAGCAATTAAGAGGTTACCGTCGTAACATTGAATTTTTGAAATAACATCCTGCCAACGACCAAAAACGATCTTCACGTTTTCCTTCTTGTCCCACCCTTGTTGTATCATACGATCATAAACCTCGGGGTGAGCTTCAATGATGGTATGCGAAGCAGGTGCATATTGCCGAATTGCGGTGTCCACGAGCCCCATTCCAAATCCAATATTCAAAATGTGACCACCATTTGAGCAAACTGCCTTTGCATGAGCCTCCATCAAAGGCTTCTCCCAAGCCATCATAACAGCCTTGTTTTCCGCATCCATAATCTTATCCTCACTGAAACTGACTCTGTCTTCCAAGTAATTATCAGAATCCTTGATCTCACTTCCCTTCCTTAAAATTGTTCCAAGTATCATTTCAGCTTGTAATGCTACACATACAAACCAGAAAGGTTAAACATTTTCTTATATAAGTAACCTCATATTGATGCATCAAGAACATATAATTTGTGTCTCAAATCCTCTAGAGTACTCTACATAATACTAAATATTTCATGGCACCTAACTCTTATAGAATATGAATTTAAATTTTAGTCCTTGTAAATCTTGCAAATTAGTCCTTGTAATAAAATCATAATCTTCTCTTCCCTAAATTTCTACCTAGTATTTGTAATTTGTCATTGTTGTCAATTGTTTGTGTGTGAGAATAAAATTCTTTAAAATTTCTCTATAAAATTATCAGTTTGTCACATGTTTTATTTCTAATTTTATACTTCTCCATGATTCAGGAGACATATTACCATTCTTAACACATGTGAAAAACTTCCAAATTTATATATTCGAATTTAGGTGATTGGAAATTGGGAAGTGGAAAGACGCTTTTATTTAGATTGGATTTGCAGAATTACAATGAAAATTGTAAGTTGTGTCAAGTTTTAACCTGCATTGAGGAGCACATCGAAAACTTCCTGGTGGCCAGCTTCCATAGCGTAGTCTCCGGCAGATTGATTGGAAGGAGAGAGAGCATTCCAGGGAGCACCGGCCTCGAGGAGATTCCTCACTACCTCAGCGTGGTTGTGCTTGGCGGCGTGCATCAGTGGATTTAGGCCATTACTGTCGAAGTATGTGACGTCTGCTCCGGACACTATCAATGATTTCACTTTGTCCAAGTCGCCCCTTCCAGCTGCATCGCAGAGTGCTTCCTCGCCGGTCATGACGGCGCCGAATAGTAACTTGGTAGACCGTGGATGATGGCAGGCGGTAGGAGAAGATTTACAAGAATGGGCATAATATAAAGGAAAATGCTTAGTTTACAAACAAAAGTCCGCCACTAAAACAAATGTTAATATCGAAAAACTCCGTATTTAGTTTTTGTGAGACTCACAATTAGTGACAAAGCACGGGGAAATCAAGAAAAAGGCTCTAAAGTACGGAGTATAAGATCGTGTACAGTGGATAAAAACCCAAAACGGAAAATCAAATTGTCATGGATGGAATTGTGTCAAAATAAAAATCAAACTAAAAAAATTAAAACCAAACACATAATGAGAACTGGACAGTTTTTACTCCGTTTTATTTTCGGTTTTAGTGTTTGAAAACCCAACCGAATCGTTTAAAGTTGAATTCTACTAACGATATCTTTATTTTTTTCCTTTCCATTCTTTTTCTAGAATATATTCTTTTTTATAAATTATTTCTTATTTTCACGCTTTTCTAATTTTTCTTTTTTATTCTCTGATGGATATTGATGTGATGATAAAATTAAAGTTTTGTTTATATTTCTATAATATGCTCTTCAATTTAACATTTATATTTTTCTCATTTTGTTTTCACTCCTAATGAAAGTGTTGGTAAATCCGGAAATGATGTTTCCGTTGTACGTTTTTTTCGTCCAAAAATGATGTTCCACTCGGATCTCTGCCATTCTTCACAAAATACTCTATTTTCTTTTTCTTCTCCTTTTCTCACTCGGATCTCTGCCATTCTTCTTCTACCCTCTCTCATTCTCTTTCCTCTACCTCGTCTTCACCCCCTATCCTTTTTTGCCTTCTTTTCTTTCTCTAGATCTTCAAATCATTCTTTGGATCAGATTTCTTCTTTTCTTGCCCCATTCGGCCCCTTTTTTCTCCAAAACTGCTCCTTCCTTTTCTTCTTCATTTTCTTCTTTCCATTCTTTTTCATGTTTGCTTGTTTACCAGATCTGCGAGATCTACAACAATCGATGGATGCGATCGTAGAGCCGGCCGCGATAGTGGGCTAGCGACGACGGGGCATATGTTTTTCTTCTCCACTTTATTACTCAGTTTTTTAGATCTTGAATTTTGGGGTGGGTCTAATGGGATTGGCAATTATGCTGGAGATTGAGGCGATGGGGGCGGCGGCAGTTGAGAGGGCCGGCGGCAGTAGTGGGGGTTGTCGGCGACATTGATTGGAGCAGATGGAGTTTATGGGAGAAGTAGATTGGAGCGGTGGTAGTGCCCTGATGAGGGCAGGAGTAATGCTAGCAAAAGGGTATTTTGGACATTTACTTCTCATTGTCAACCCTCCTTAAAAAAATGAGAAAAAGTCAAACCGAAAACATCATTCCCGGACGGAGGGAGTAGCTTTTTTCTTTCCTATAATTTTTTTTGATAATTTACTTGGTAAGAATTGTAACCATGTGACCCCTATTTCACAATTCTTTTCTAGAATACTCTCAATTTGCTATTGGGACACGATAAAAATGTTGCTAGTTTTACTTCCTTTTTATATACGGAGTACATTTTTTAATACTACTCATTCAATCATTTTTCTCATGTCATTAAAAAAGTATCTAATGTTGCATTTTATATACTGTCTATTGATTTACTTTTAAAATTAATACTCCGTACTTTTTTATAATAAAATTTATATTTTTTAAAACCACAAAAAAAATATAAAAAACCAAATCTTAAACCACAATAAATCAAACCAAATAACTAATAGTTTTTATTTTTATTATGTAAAACCGAACAGAACCAAACCACGAATTTACCATCTTTTCTGTCTTTGATTTTTGGATAAAAACCAAAATGATGAAACCAAACTCACCCCTAATGTGGATGTCATGTCAGAAGATTAGCTTTAAGCCAAAAAAATATGTAATGGTTCATGCCTATTTCAGGCACCTATCCGATTATCATTATCCAATTAATAAATAATTTTATATTTTTTAAACAAAACAAAAATGAAACTTGAAAAATAATTAATAAAAACATAAAATTTTCATTGAAATTTTAAAAAGTACTTAAGTTATAAATTTTTTTTTAAAAAAACTAATTATCTTACTCAAATATTCTTAAATAAAAAAGACAATATCTTTTTTTCAATAAAAAAGTACTCCTAAAATAATTAAACACTAGACAAAAAATAACTAATGAATAACGATGAAAGTTTCAAAAAAAACTAATTGTCTTCAATTGTACATCTCATCCAAGCTAAATCCGCCATTAGAGCCCTATGTGTATCGGCACTACGCATAAACACGACATTTTGTATTCTTTATTCCATTGTTGCTTGCTTCTAGAAATGACAGATCATAATCCTGGAAAATGACTTTTGCCTCGTCTTCCAAAATCCTGGAAAATGACTTTTGCCTCGTTATCCACAATCGTGCAAGGTAAGTGAGTCCAGATGCGTGTAACGGATCGGGCCCACTAGGGGGCATGTGGATAACGAGGCGGACGGCCCAATCATGGACTGGATTGAGACGATCCAGTCCGAGAAGGGAACAGGACGCGTGGCTCACACCCCAAGTCGTGGAAGGAATGGAAAGGGATCAAGACGGGAAAGGGAGGGAATCACGACCCCATGATCTCCAAAAACCTTCCCATTATGTTTAACTTTAACTTAAAAACTAGAAGTACTATAAAAGGGGGAAGAACCCGCCATTGTAAGGGAGAGGACGATGGATTACACACCCAATTAAGAATATATTTCGAGATTGATGGGTATATCCCTATACCCGACCCGGACAACCGAAAGGGACAGGTCAAAATATGACCGGTCACTTTTATCAATCACCAAATGAGGTTAACTCTTCGATTGGGACGGGTCAAAAGTTGACCGGTCACTTCCACTAAAAAAGTGACCGGTCACATTTTGGGCGATAGTCAAAAATATCACCTAATGTTGTGAAGAATTCAAGAAGACTAAAGAGACGGGTTGAGCTCAAGAAATGACTGGTCATATATTCTTACTTGACAAACATTGGTCCAGTATCTCAGGCATGGTGAACCACGTCAAAGATCGAGGGACCACCCCGCCGTTCGTCCATCACGAGACAAACAGTGAAAGGGATGTTTGTCACTTTGCAGGGCTGATTGGATTGAGAATATCCATCTATAGTCTTTGATTGAACAGTACATGTCTTGGCTTATAGTTGCTAAATTCTATGATTGTACAGTGCTTCCATTATCTACAGTGACCTTCCCACGAGCTTCCTATTTTGTCCATGGATGAACAGGGGAGGGTCACAAATCCTCCTCTATAAATATGATGATATTTGATAGAGGAGGGGATCCAATTTTTCTCTCACTAAAGTTCAGTCTTGAGATAGAGTAAGAAATATAATTCGGACTGAGGCGATTTACCCGGTCTAGGTCATACTTTGTGTTCTTGTTGTGTGTTTTATATTACGGGTCGAGTGTGTCTAGGTCAAACCCGGTTAACCCACCCCGCTATATTTACACCATCATTTTTGGCGCCCACCGTGGGGCCAATTTTTAAATTTTTTTCACCAGGTCAAAATTTTACCCCCACTAAATATCCACAATCATGTCTTCGAGCAACTACAACGCCGTGTCAAGCCAGGCTGCGAGTGAAAGCACTCCTGCCATCCCATTGATGATGTCGAGCATGGGGATGACCTTTGCTCCGATCTCCACTGTAGGATCGATTAGCATGATCCCAATCATGTCAACCCCTACTCCTACTCCGGCGACAACAATGTTCCCAGGCTCGATAACAACGCCTGGTGGAGCATTCACACCATACCCGTCAGCTTGGCTCAGTTTGCTGCTGACCTGGCAAATGCTCAGGCTCTACAAGGCTATCAACAGGTGATGGCCATGATGCAACAGGCAGGGGGCTTCATGCCATTTGCCTATCCCGGCATGACGCCACCAATCATGCCACCTCCGGTGTCGACCCCGTCGACATTTGTCCCTAGGATGGTCCCTATACATCCGGTGAATTTGACGGGGACTATGAATGAAGCAGCGCCCTCAAATGTCCATGAAATCGATGAGGCGGAGCAGGAGGCGGCCCGCAGGAGGAAGGGTAAGGCTATAGCCAAACCCAGCAAGACTCGAGATTCGGCGTTCAAACGCCTAGGGGACAAGGAGGATGGACCCCGCAAGTCTGCCAAGCTACGTCTTGGTCCTGAGATGGGCCGGACTAGCGCAATGGAAAGACTTGGCGGGAGTCGTCACGCCCAATCTCGTCATTCTAGGGAATCTGAGACGATTCACCAAGACGAGGAGGAAGTAGAAAGCCAGCCGAGGGCATCGGCATATACCAGGCTCTCATACGATGAGGATGACCTGGACAAGATAGGGAGCGTAGCAAGGAAACTACGTGCCCTGGAGGAAAAGGTGGAAGAGAAGGCGGGAGCGAAAAAGCACACCTTGGCTAAATCTCCCTTTTCGGCCAGGGTACATGCGCAGAGGTTGAGGCGGAAGATTAAGCTGGACGTGGAGAAATTCACAGGAAAGGAGGATCCAAACGTCCACCTTGACACCTTCCACAATGCAGCACAGATGGCCGGGTGCACTGATGCTGAGGAATGCCTACTCTTCTTCTCATCCTTGAGAGGGAGGCTAGTGGAATGGTTTAACGGCCTTCCCCATGGCAGGATTGGGTCCTTTGAGAAACTTGCCGAAGTTTTCCGCAAAAAGTACCAGGACAATTGCATCAAGAGGAAGAAGTTCACCTACCTTAACACGGTAGGGCAGAAGGAGAAGGAGTCCTTGACTCAATTCTTGACCCGTTGGAGGGATGAGGTCGACAAGGTAGAAGAGATGGACAACAAGACGGCCATGTCTTTGCTGATGAATGCCTTCCGGTCGGGTGACCTCTACACCGAATTCTGTAGGAGGCCACCCTCCTCTTACCAAGAAGCCTACAATACGGCATGGGAGTATGCCGACGCGGAGGTCTTGAATAAGAGCAAGCGGGAATTAGAGGAAGGATATACGAAGGTGAAATTCGACAAGCCGAAGAAGGACGACCAGATGGGAGGGTCCAAACTAAAGGCTACGTATGACGGGTCTGTCCATCAAATAAGGGATGATAAGAAGGGAGAACAACCCAAGAGGCCTTGGACGGAGAAGTGGTGTACCTACCACCAATCTGACTCTCACAATACGGTGGATTGCCGAAATGTCAAGGTTGTGCTCAAGGAGATGGCCTTGAAAGGAGAGCTTGGGGAAGGTTACGCGACGGGGAATAAGAAGGACCCGAAAGCAAACACCTGGACCCGTCATCAGGGAAAATACCAGGGTAGGAGAAAATCCGGGAGGGATAACAACAATCCGGATAAAGAATTCATAGAGATGATTGTCGGCGGCCCAGAAGGCGGGGATACTGCCTCCCAGCGGAAGAACTAGGCCAGGAGCTTACACGTAGCGGTGGTTTCCCTGGAAACACAAGGGAAGCACGCAAGGAGGGAACCTATCACTTTCACTGATAGGGATCTTCCCAGGACGGGGGGAGATCATAATGGCCCTCTGGTCATTACAATGGATATCAATGGAGCTGATGTGGCCAGGGTCCTGGTTGACACAGGAAGCAGTGTCAATGTTTTATACTTGGATGCTTTCAAGAAATTGAAGTTGGACAGGTCCATGCTGAGGCCATTGCAAACCCCATTGTCAGGCTTCACTGGAGCCAGCATAGAAGCAGAAGGTCAAATCACCTTACCAGTTACCATGGGGTCGGGTAACAGGACAGTGACCAAACAAATGAGATTTGTTGTGGTCGAGATCAAGTGTGTACATAATGCTATTCTTGGTAGACCTGGAATCAACCAAGTCAGGGCCATCATTTCTATGGCACATTTATGCATGAAGTTTTACACTCCCAATGGAATCGGGGTGGAAAGGGGTGATCAAAAGAACGCCCGGTCCTGCTACCTGGAAGCAGTCAAGAAGATGACCCGCCAGTTCGAACAAATTGAACTGGTCTCCCAGCAGGTAGACAAGGGTGAGGAGAAGGCTAGGATCGAGCCAGATGCAAACACGGAAGAGATCCAGATTGATGCCTCCAATCCTGAAAGGAAGGTCAAAATTGGGGCTGATCTTCAGGAAGAGCAAATTGTCCAGGTGTTGACCAGGTATAAATCATTATTTGCCTGGAGTGTTGTTGATATGCCCGGGATTGACCGGTCAGTCATTTGCCATCGTCTCTCTGTTCTTGAGGGGTCTAGGCCTGTAAGACAGAAGAAGAGATTCTTGGCAAGTGATAGGAGGGACTTTGTGAAGAAAGAGGTCAAGGACCTACTTGAGGTAGGTGATATCAGGGAAGTAAACTACCCTGAATGGCTGGCCAATGTTGTCCTGGCCCCGAAGGGTGATACCTGGAGGATGTGCGTGGACTACACAGACCTCAACAAGGCATGTCCAATGGATTCTTACCCTCTCCCTAGCCCAGACCAAATGGTTGATGAAACCGCCGGGTGTGAGATGCTTAGCTTCATGGATGCCTTTAAGGGGTATCACCAAATCTTCATGGCGGAGGATGATGAAGAGAAGACGGCCTTCCTCACTCCGGACGGCACATACTGTTACAAGGTGATGGCCTTTGGGTTGAAAAACTCAGGGGCAACTTACCAGAGAATGGTCAACAAATTATTCAGGCCTTTGCTTGGACGGACCATGGAGGCCTATGTCGATGATATGCTGGTGAAGAGAAGGGCAAGCGGCACACATGCTCAGGACCTGGAAAAATGCTTTGAGATTATGGCTAGGCATAATCTTAGACTTAACCCGAAGAAGTGTGTTTTTGCTGTGAGGACGGGGAAGTTCTTGGGCTTTATGGTGACGAAGAGAGGGATTGAGCCAAATCCTGAGAAGATCAAGGCCATTATGGAGATGCAACCCCCAACATCGGTAAGGGAAGTCCAGCGGTTAACAGGGCGCTTGGCGGCCTTAAACCGATTCTTGTCGAGGTCGGCAGAGAAGGCTTTGCCTTTCTTTAAAGTTTTAAAGAAAGCCAACACCTTCCAGTGGGATTATGAATGTGCTAGGGCATTCGAAGAGCTGAAGACATACCTGACTTCGGATATTGTCTTGTCCAAGCCAGAAACAAAGGAGACTCTCTACCTCTACTTAGGGGTTACTCAAATGGCTGTTAGCTCAGTCTTGATGAGGGATGATGGGGTCCAGAGGCCCATCTATTATGTAAGCAAGGCCTTAAATGGGGCAGAAAGTCGGTACACTCCTACGGAGAAGGCAGGGTATGCACTTTTCACAACAGCGAAGAAACTCACGTCGTACTTCCAGGCCCATCCCATTGTCGTATTGACCGACCTACCATTGGGCACGGTCATGAGGGATTCCACTTCACCGGGAAGGATGATCAAATGGGCCATGATGCTTACCCAATTCAACATTGAATATCGTCCGAGGACGGCGATAAAAGGGCAGGCTGTGGCTGACTTTCTTGTGGAAATGACGGGTCACCAGGAAGAAGAACCGACCAGGGCCATCACCGAACCTTGGTGGTCCATGTCAGTAGATGGAGCCTCTGGACCGAAAGGTTACGGGGGAGGCGTAGTATTCACAACTCCGGAAGGGTTCAAGGTATATCATGCCTTGATCTTTAATTTCAAGCTCACAAATAATGAAGCGGAGTATGAGGCATTGATAGGGGGTCTGAGACTGGCCAAAACCCTACAAATCACATGCCTCAGAATCAAATCCGATTCAAGTTTGGTGGTAGGCCACATCAATGGCAACATGGAGGCCAAGGGAGAGAAGATGAAAAAGTAGAGGGACTTGGCAAAGGCACTATTGAAGGACTTGGCTGAGTATGTGATGGAACAAATCCCTAGGGGGGAGAACACCGATGCTGACTTGCTATCAAAATTAACGCAAGCAGCCCCGGAACATGTCTCAAAATTGGCCAGGATTGAGATGCTAGAGAAGGCTAGCATTGAAGGGCTTTATGTTAGCCTGATTGAGGAAGATGGAGCCAGATGATATTTGGATGGATGACTTGGTCAAGTATTACATGACCGGGCAATTCCCTGAAAATGAGGACAGGGTGAGAAAAGTAAAGTTGAGGGCTCCAAGATTCCAAATGCTCGAGGGAAGGCTATACAAAAGAGCATTCGGTGGTCCATTGCTAAGGTGCTTGACCAGGGCAGAGGCGGAAAGAGTGATCACCGAAGTTCATGAGGGTGTCTGCGCCGCCCACCAAATGTCCAGGACGCTCGCGCAAAGGATCATTTTGCTAGGTTATTTCTGGCCTACAATGAACCAAGATTGCGAGAGATATGTCCAGAGATGCAAGATTTGCCAGGTATTCTACAAGTTTCCGGGAAGGCCTGCAACATACTACCACCCAGTTTCCAATGTTATTCCATTCGCAAGGTTTGGGATGGACATCATTGGGGCCTTCCCTNGAGGGTGTCTGCGCCGCCCACCAAATGTCCAGGACGCTCGCGCAAAGGATCATTTTGCTAGGTTATTTCTGGCCTACAATGAACCAAGATTGCGAGAGATATGTCCAGAGATGCAAGATTTGCCAGGTATTCTACAAGTTTCCGGGAAGGCCTGCAACATACTACCACCCAGTTTCCAATGTTATTCCATTCGCAAGGTTTGGGATGGACATCATTGGGGCCTTCCCTCAAGCTCAAGGGAGAAAGAAGTATGTCATGGTCGCTATCGACTACTTCACAAAATGGGTGGAGGGCGAGGCATATGCAACCATCACAACCAAGCAGTGCCAGCACTTTGTCTAGAAGAACATCATCACTCGGTTCGGGTCACCCCGAAATATCGTGACAGATAATGGGCCTCAATTTCGGAATCCAGGGTTCACCAAATACTTGGAGGACTTCGGGATTACTCACAACAAGGCTTCCGTGGCCTACCCGCAAGGGAATGGCCAGGTGGAGAATGCGAACCGCACAATAGTCGATGGGATCAAAAAGCGGTTGGGTGACGCATGAACAAATTGGTTAGAGGAGTTGCCACATATCATCTGGGCTTACCGGGTCACTTCAAGAAGGGCCACAGGGGAGACACCCTTCGTCCTTACATACGGGTGTGAGGCCAGACTACCCATCGAAGCTAAAATAATGACCTTTCGGGAGAAGGTCTATGAAGAGAAAGGGAATGAGGAAAACCATTTGGCAGAGCTAAACTTGCTGGAAGAAAGGCGGATGGCCGCTGAGGCTAAAATGACGGAATACCAGCAAGCAGCCAAGGCCTACCATGATAACAAGGTAGGGCCTCGTTATTTCCAAGTGGGCGATGAGGTCCTGAGACGAAGGGAGGCTAGCAAACCCGGAGACGGGGGAAAACTTGCAAAGAAATGGGAAGGCCCATATAGGGTCACATCAATATTACGCCCTGGGACATACAAGTTAGAAACAATGGAAGGTCGAGAGTTGGAAAGGTGCTGGAATTCCCACCACCTTAGAAAATTCTACCGATAGGCCAAATTGGCAGGGCATATATTTGTAATACCCCTTTGATGATAAATAAGAGGTTTCTTCGATACTTATGTTGCTGGGTCAGTAATACTAAAGTAATGTCTTGGTGTAAGAGGAAAGGTCAAAAAAAAGAGATAAACCCTTGAGATAGGGGCCTTGATGTTGAGGTATGGCCTTGAGATAGGTTGGGTCTGGAAGAGGACTCGCGTCCATACTTACATGGATCCCTACCAAATTTTTATTTGGATAGGGGCAAAAAGATGCCAAAGTAAAAAAAAATACCGTCTTGCATGAGCCATCCTTTGCGGATTGAAGGGTCTAGAGAAGACTAGAATTCACTTCAAATGCATAACATATGGACATGTAGGATTGGATGAGGGCTGGTTCTCACCGGCATACCCCCACGTGGGAAGATTGGGTTGGCTAGGTCAACCTAATGATTAGAGAATGGCACATTAAAAAACTTAAAACCTGGAAGAGGGGCCCTGGAAGAAGGGTGTTGCCTGGAAGAGGGCTGAACCTTGGAGAGGGTTCGCGATCATAGGACATGGTCAAAATCTCCGAAGAAAGTTCGGGTCTTGA